TTTTACATGCTGCTAGTGAGAGAACCTGTTGTTAAAATATTTGAATCTCACCACTGGTTGTACCTGAACTCTAGGCGAGGCCCGACGAAGGTTAGCTCACTGGACGAACAGTCTCCCGATGAAGTAAAGTCGATAATTTCCATGTGGAGTACTGTCACCTGATGCCTGTGTAAATGTGCTGATAGTGATAGAACATAACTTCAGAAGTGGGAACTCAGAATTAAAATTCATAATGAATAACCACACACAACCGTGTTGGCAAAAACAAACTCGAGGTGAGGCCCGACAATGGTCAGTTTATTGGATGATCAATCTCCCTATGAAATAAAGCCGAAAATCGAGTACCACGACCTGAAGCCTGTGTAAATGTGCTAATAGAACATATAAGTTATAACCTCCGAAGTGGTAATGTAATTATTCATAATGCAAAATGAATAACCAAACACAACTGTGTTGGCAGAAATAAATAAAATTAAAAGGTATTTGTAATGAAGTTCCGTAACCGTGTAGAAATATAAAATAATTCCACTTCAGAATAACTCAACAAGTTACAAATATCACTTTTATATAATAAATAGTAAAGGTGTTGAGAGAAATTGATACAATAACACGGAGGGGGGGGGAACAACTTGAAGGAAGCACAGATTAATCGTTAGAACACGGATTACTGCCAAATGAGAAATGTTAGTTTGTTAGAATCGAATAGAGGGAGTCTCATGCGTCTAGAGAGTGTGTCTCACTCTTATTTGTGGAGGGTTGTCGAATGATGATTTGCATGCGAGACGCATATGAATCAGTCGATTGTAAGGTACTAAGGTACATGGGAGCTTCAGGGCTTGTGCATGCGAAAAAAGTGTTTGTATATAGAGGGCAGCAATGAACGAAAATAGCTATTTATGTATTTGTAGTTAAGCAGAAAGTTACACAATGGGCTATCGCTATTTAAGTGAGATGAGATGATGTACCCTATCGAAAATCTATTTTTTTCCAAGGTCAGTAAAATTGACATTAATCCACAACAGATCTAAATGAGCTCAATAAGAAAATATTTTATCAGAGATGCCTGTAAATATTGCAGGTTTTCTGTTCGTGAGCTTGATAAAGATGAATATGCATAGTGTTATAGGTAAATACTGCAAGCTTTCTCTCACTGACCTTAATTCAGATGAATAAAATTTGTCTCAAATGTAAATATTTATATCAATTTTAACACTGTTATAAGTACTCACTGAAATTTACCTATTGGTATTACTGAACTTAATTCAGATCCATATTAATTATGTTAGATGCACATTTTGCACGTTCTCTAATAATGATATTAATTTAGATCAATGTTACTAGTGTTATATGTATATATCCTACGTTTTCTTTTACTGAGGCTTGTTTGTAATTAAGCACAAAGCTACGCAATGGGCTACCTGTACTCTGCCCACCACGGGTATCGAAACCCGAATTCTAGCGTTGTAAGTCCGCAGACATACCGCTGTACCACTGGGGTGCTTTACTGAGGCCAATAAGACTAGATTCATATTCTCAAAGGTATGTATATAAAATGTACAATATAAACATATAAATTTTATTACATGTGTGTGTTTTGCAGTACCTTATCCTAAAGTTCTTTTTATCAAATAAGGCACTTGCCCAATTGGACTTAACCTAATGTTTTCCTTCTAATTTGTCTGTTAGTGATGGGAAAAAATGGCTGAAGATCAATTTACACTAAAACTGAGTAACAGTTAGAACCTGCATAAAGCTCACTTGTATCTCTTGTTGTTTTGATAACAAATTCAAATCCAATGAAGCTTGCTAAGACTACTTTATTTACCATAAACCTCTGGAAATAGCAATTACTGGATTCATAATAATAATAATCAAGCATTCCTAATCAAAGTCTCTTAATAGTTCACAGTAAACACAAGTTAGGTATTAAGTACGTACAGAGTTTCATAACAATCGATCACAAAATAGTCAAAGTCAGTGAAAAGAGCACATTACATTAAAGTTTCGTATTAGGTATGTACAAGATATGTACATTTAAATTTACATAACCATCATAGTCAAAGTCTATGAATAGGGCATACTACATGAAAGTTTGATATTGTTACGTATCTGCTTGTTTGTTAATTTCCGGTAGAAATTCTTTCTGAAGAACTTAAGCGATACAAGTCCTTTCTTGATTAAAACTAGTTTATGCTTTCTCGATACAAACTTTGTAATACACAGAATTTCCACAGTCAATACGTTTTCTTGTCGCGTTACTTAACAACCTTTATAACACACGCTATAAATCACAGTGATCAACACACTTTACTGACGGTGTCTACTGTTCGCGTGACTCAATTATCATTATCTTCGATTCCGATTATTTTTCTCGCCAGGCTTATATACTAAAAAGAGGGCGTCTAACAAACATTTGGACTTTCGCGGGGTTACTCGATAATTCATGATCCTTCGAGAAACTCCAGCGTGCATGCTCCCAGAATCACGCAACTTCCGCTGTCGTAACAGTATTATTCATGTAAAAGCTTTTTAGATATAGAGTTAAGCAATTAGTATTTGCTAATTGCTTAAATGATTCAAATCAGTTAATGAATTATCACAGTGTTCCTCCAGCCATGGTAAATGCAAGAGAAAGAAAAAGGGTTGGTTGTGGCAGTTCACTACACTACCAACAACAGCAAAAATGAAGGTTGGTGGTGGGTGCTGCCAGCCTTTCCAATAGCCATCAGTTAAACATTAATGAAAGAAGCAGATAGCTCTGCAATAACAATGAAAGGGTGAGCAAGTTTGGTGTCAATGTTTTGATTACCTGGATAGTTGGAATAATCGGAAATGTGAATATTTATTAGTTTATTATTTTTCTGATAGTCAATTTAATTATAACTGATTTATAAAATGTTGGAATAATTGAAAACACTAATTTTGAGTAGTAGATTATAATCAGAAACAATAATTTCCATTAATTGATTAGTTTATGTAACACTAATCTATTTAATCAATGCTCAAAGGTAATCAATTATATTGATTAACTGAATAAATCATTCAGCTCTATCTACATATAAAAAAAAACAAAGCAGGTTACTTCACTGTCATACCAAAGTTAGGTATCAATCAAGTACAAGACATCTATATGTGCCTTACTGTCATAAAATATTAACTTAACAGGACACATTAAACCAAAGTTATGTGTCAATCAAGTACAAGATGTCTACATGTACCTTACTATCATAAAATAATAACTGAATAGGGCAAATTGCATGTACAGTTATAGCTACATTACCAGCCTAATGTTCATATGGCATATTACACTGATGTTAGGTATTATACACCTACATGAAAGTTACAGCTAGATTACCAGCCTTGTGATCACACATATCCATCTTTCAGTGTCCTTGGATCTACTCCAAGAGCTGAGTAAGAGATTCAGGTTCACTCAGTTGTAGCATGTTGCCCTAATTAATATCAAGGATATAAATGCAATATATTGCAGTACAAAAGCTGTGACTATGTTTTATGTAGAAAATATATATCAGATATTTTAATGAGCTTCAAAACTAACCATCTTTTACTTCTATACATAAACACATATTTCAGAAAATCAAAATAACAAAAATATAACTTCACAAGTCAAAACAGAATATAATATATTAATCTTGAGAAATATTAACTACATAGAACCATTTCAACACACATATCTTACTTTCCTTGTACTTAAAGCAGCTTTAAGTACATGTCAGTTGGTTACTTTAATTAATGTCCACATACAACCACAAGCTTCTTTACTAAACATCTATTTAATTTAAATATTTCTCATTTACATGAACTCATATTAGGACCAAACTTAGTAACAAACACAAATCTGGCTAGTTTTCATATATAGCACCTAGTAACAAACACTGTATGTGACAAGATTAAATATATAATACGTAGTAACAAACACTGTATGTGACTAGATTAAATATATAACATGTAGTAACAAACACTGTATGTGACTAGATTAAATATATAACATGTAGTAACAAACACTGTATGTGACTAGTTATGTTATATAGCACC